CTGGAGCTAGCGGTGTCCCCCAGGGGTCAGTCCTGGGTCCAGTCTTGTTCAATGTATGCATCGATGACCTGGAGGAAGGCTCAGAGTGCACCCTCGGCAAGTTTGCTGATGATACGAAACTGGGGGGAGTGGCTGACCCACCAGAAGGCTGTGCTGCCCTTCAGAGGGACCTCAACAGGCTGGAGAGATGGGCAGAGAGGAACCTTCTGAAGTTGAACAAAGGCAAGTGCAGGCTCCTGCACCTCGGGAGGAATAACCCCATGCCCCAGTCCAGGCTGGGGGTTGACCTGCTGGAAAGTAGCTCTGCCGAGAAGGACCTGGGAGTGCTGGTGGACAACAAGTTGACCATAAGCCAGCAATGTGGCCTTGTGGCCAAGAAGGCCAATGGGATCCTGGGCTGCATTAGGCAGAGTGTTGCCAGCAGGTGGAGGGAGGTCATCCTGCCCCTCTCCTCAGCCCTGGGGAGGCCTCACCTGGAGTCCTGTGTCCAATTCTGGGCTCCCCAGCACAAGAGAGACATGGCGCTACTGGAGAGAGTCCAGCGGAGGGCGACAAAGATGATGAGGGGACTGGAGCATCTCTCCTCTGAAGAAAGGCTGCGAGAGCTGGGCCTGTTCAGCCTGGAGAAGAGAAGACTGAGAGGCAATCTCATCAATGTGTACAAGTATCTGAAGGGAGGGTGTCAAGAGGATGAGGCCAGTCTCTTCTCCGTGGTGCCCAGTGACAGGACAAGAGGCAATGGGCAGAAACGGAACCACAGGAAGTTCCATCTAAACCTGAGGAAAAACTTCTTGACTGTGAGGGTGACAGCGCATTGGAACAGGTTGCCCAGAGAGGTAGTGGAGTCTCCTTCCCTGGAGATATTCAAAACCTGTCTGGATGTGACCCTGGGAAATATGCTGTAGAGGACCCTGCTTGAGCCGGGAGGTTGGACTAGATGATCTCCAGAGGTCCCTTCCAACCTAAACCTTTCTGTGATTCTGTGTTAGGATTCTCTTTCCTGGGCAAGGCAGAAAATGTGCCTCCTTGCTTCCTAACCATTAAGTTAAGCATCTAAGTGATTGCTTTTTGTCTCTGATTATCTTGCTGTTCCAGTAGATGATGACCTAACTATAGTCTGTAATGGGGTCGAAGCTGCTGCTTCTTAATGCTTGTGTCTCAGTGAAAATCGTGTGGAGGAGGGGAGGGAAGGTAGTTTAAACAGCTTTTTATCTCTGTTGGATCCCTGTCAGCAAGGGGAGGAGGAGGTGAAAAGCAATGACCTGAGCATAGTGAACACTGTTGCCATCTTGCGTCACAATTATTTCATTTCAGGGGGAAGTTAGGAGCAGCAGCAGCAATAAAAGCAGCAGTTTCCGCCTTGTATTCCAGAGCAACATCAGTGGGCAATCTATATCATGACACTCCACTGCATGCATCTTTTTCTCTTGCTTCTGCTGGGTTCTTGGTGGCCAGATTCAGAGAAGCATGTGGTGGGAGCTGCGAAGATCAGGGAGCACTATATCGCTGCTCAGATCACTAGCTGGACCTACAAACCAGCATCTGAGGAAAAGTCCAGGTAACAAAGTTCAGGATAAGAAGGATGAAACTTGTCCTCTTTTGTGACTCAAAGTGTTTTGAGTCTCCTGAGGCATTTTTGGGCCCAGGAGGACTTTAGAGCCTGACCTGTTGGCTTCAAAGGAACTGTATATCTTTGAACAGCATGATCTGAACTGGAGCCAATGAAGTATTAAAAGCTCCTTTTTAGTTACTTGATTAGTTGTCAGGATTATTTTTATGTTTTCAGAGCAGTTTTGTTGAATCTATTCCAGGGTTTGCTTTTATAATCTTTTATCTGTATTTTTTTAATGTCATTATTTTGAGGTATATGGATTTTGAGCAATGTTAAGTTGAGCCACAGTTTGGTAGAGTTTTGGAAAGTTTTAGACTTTAAAATTAGCTGAAGGAATAAATAGCTTCTGATTTGATACCATCACTTTCACTTAAATCAGAGCCTGATGAACTTTGGAACTAGCTGTTGTTGTTTCTGAGTTGTTCAGTAGTTTTTGTGAAATGTTCTTCCTGAGTTTGCCTGAGCAAAGGTTGGAGGATCAAGCATTGCTATGCTTTATTATGAAGTAGAAATACTAATTTGAAATATTTTTAGATTGCATTGCAGAACGGCCAGCCTATATGCACACACTAAGCAAGCGTATGAAGTATCTTCTTGTACAACCAATATTATACTTAGGATTATAAACACTGCAAGTGCAATGCTACACATGGCAAAACTTTGATCTAATTTAGAATTGTGTTTGAATTAGGGTTGGTGCTTATGCTTTGTTCGCTATAGCCACCATATACAGCTTTTGTTTGTTCATGAAGTGGCGTGAAATGGGAGGTAATATTTGTTTTCTCATTCTGTGACGAAGGGGGCATTTGGATGCTATTGAGTGTTTTGCATCGGTGGGTGGCTTGTTTTCTTTATGTTGGTTTAGTTTGTGATTTTTTTTAATATGTGTTGGATCTTGTATTTCTGGATGTTATTGGAAAGGACATTTTCATTTCAGATTTAGATTTTAGATTATCTCTTTTCCAAGACTAATTAAAATGAAGTTTCCATGATTTCTAAAACGCCCCTTGGAAATTCAGTGCAACTGGTATGAGCATAACGTCAAAGTGGCAAGAGAGGAGAAAATGTGATTTAAATGTAGGAAGCCAAATGCTATTTAAATAATGACCTAGGCATATGAATTTAGTATTTAGATCTTCATTCTCATTTGCTCTGAATGCATCTATGTAAGCATCAACTGCTATTTCTCTAAGCATCACTTAGTGGATAGATGGATTTCATGCTGTAGAAATCAACTGACTGTCTCAAACCTCAGTTTAAATATTATGTGGTTCGGTAGGAGTTTTTCATACCGAGCCTATTGAGATATCTCACATAAGTTTTTAGAGCAAGTCCATATCCTGAATGCATCTGATGAACTTTCTAAAATTTCTAGAAATTTAACTAAAAAAAAAAAGGATATTTACTGAGAAGGGGCTAATAGCCTGGATCTTCAAAGGCGTTTGGGTATGTAACGCACTCTGATTTCAGTAGAAGCTCAATGTCTGAATACAGTTTAAGAATCTGATAGTTTGCTGGGTTTAGTTCTCAGTAACTGAAGAGACACTGAAAAGAAAATAGATTCTTCCTGAACCATTTCCTTAATCAATTTTCCTGTGTTTCATTTCCATTTACTGCAAATCATAGAAGTCTGGATAGGTCACTTAACTTCTCTGATCCTCAGTCTTTTTAGAGGTTTATTGGTCATCATGTATAAGTGATATTTATCAGATACTTCAAAGCAAAGTAAAACTGTATTACTTGTGCATGCAATGCTGCCAGTTCCAAGGACTGAAGGTTATGTAACTAGACCTGATTGCGTAGAGTGAGATTTTTGAAGTGCTAGTAACTAAAGTATTCTGTTCCTTTTAGCTCTACAATTGGCATTGGTAAATTTCCTCTTCCACTCTACAGTCTGATGTGCTTGCACGTTGGCACATTAGGACAGCATTTGTCAATGAGGATTACAAATCGCACCCTTCTCCTTAAGAGTAAAAGAAAATTGTATCAATGACTTCAAAGAGAGCAGAATGAATTGAAACAGGTAGTGCTTCTGCCTGACTCTATTAGTGTGAGGGAATGTCAGAAAGGGATTTATAGCTTTACAAAAAGAGATTTCCTCTTTATGGACCCTGAATGTCACTGTGAAGCAGCCTAACTTTTTATCCCTGCCCAGCCTCTCTATTCATGTGCAGCCTATCAGTTTCCCACTTTCAGATACGTACCTTGCATAACTGAAAGGGCAATATAAAAAAAAGCAAGTGGACTTACTGTTGGATCCAGCGATAGTAAGTGCTAAGAAAATAACCACTAAATGTGAAACTAAATACACACTATTCTCCCTCCAGCCCTCATTTCATTATTACTTCCATTCCAGAAGTGTTTTATGCTGGTTTCCTTCTGCTTGCCTGAGTATTTTCTAAAAATACAGTGGTCTAGAGTGTGTGTGTGAGAGAGAGAAGCATAATCAGTCTAAGGATAATTTACATGTTTCCCAGAAAGCAATTTTCTAACTTGCTGTGAGCACCTTTGATGTTGTCAGGGAACAGTTTTGTGTTTGTCTTGAAAGCACAGCAGCTGCAGACACTTGCTACTAATGCCATTATAGAATCATTGTTGTGAGTCTTAAAGCTCAAGCGTGGGGCTGAGTAAAGAGAAATCCACGTTGTTCTCCCTGCTCTATCAGATACTTTCTAGGTAAACATGGCCGGGGCATCTTTCTCTATGCCTTCTTCCAGAATCTTGGAAGAAAACAAAGATGCGTTCATTTCAGAACCAAAAGGACCTATAGCAACCAGAAGCAAAATGAGGGGCCAACTGTGCTAAGTACTGTAATTGTATCTAATATGAAATAGCCTAGCTCCAGGGTGTCACAGATTTGGCAGAGGGAAAGGGAAAGACAGTACAAAGAGATGGAAAGTGTGATTTGCCTTCAGCAAAATGCGTAAGTGATTAAATACAATGGTAGAATTCATTTTCCGAGATATTTGCTGAACAGCATTGGTGTCTCTGAGAATCTTTGTCCTTTTAATTTTTTTCATAACTCTTCTGGTTTCAGATTGGTACATCCAGATCCTGTGTTTAAGAAAATTGCTTACAGGGAATACGAAGTGGATTTTAAAAAAGAAAAGCCAGCAAATAAATTTGCAGGTAAATCAGAAGGAAATGTTCTGAGATATTTTTGTTTGATGCTTATCTTAAAGCCAGTAACAAGCTAAGCGAGCTCGTATTTTTTTTGTCCGTTGTTTTGCACACCAACCAGATAGCTACAGGGGATGAGGTCTCTGCAGTGCACTAGCCCTTTGAGAGGCTCTAAAGAAGTTGGATTTTTAGGGGCTGCTGCTCAATACTATCTGCAAATCAGTTGCATAGTACAGAGTTTTTTTCCTGAGTTTTCTGCTGCTGGTGAGACTTTCCATACATGTTTAGAATTGTACAGACCAGTCACAGTGATTACACTATGAAATCACATGGAAAGAGCCTAAGATCTGAGACTAAATATGTTTCTGACAGACGAGTAGATAGGAAAAGACAACCATTAGGACAGATGTGAAAGATATCCCCTTACCTTTACCATTTGTTACTACTTGAAGATGCTTTAGATAGGTGGGGATAGGTTCTCATGCCATCCATAAGTATGGTACTTATATTCTGATACTTAGTAGAGTACTTTTATACTTGGCTTGTATGTCACATTAGTAAATAGAATAACTTTAGCTGTTACAGCCACTTAAATTTCAAAGCAAATGTATATGAGGTTGATGGTATCGAATTGTTACAAGTCAGCCTGAAAGGTCTAGTCTGTGATCTGATTGCTTTTAGTTTGGTGCATTCTCCCATCTTTTCTGAAGCCACTGCTTTCTTTTCAGAGAAAGAAATTTACAAAATGGTTTACAAAGAAAGAGACTAACAGGGCAATGGTTGTGTAGCAGGTTACTTCCATTGCTTATTTTGCCACATGGGGGGCAAGCCCATCTTAAAATCTTTTGCAGGCTGTATCTAAAGAAATTTGCAGCATGGAACTGATTATGTTCTTAGATGAAATTCTGTGATTGAAAGATCTTTTTGTTCTGTGACTTCTGGCATTGACAGTGCTACTCAAAGAAATGTGCTTAAATGCCTCTCTAAACTTTTAGACTTTACAATTCCTAATCGACCTCAAAATGAACCTTTTGATAAATATCTGAAAAATAAGCATCTGGACAAAAGCCTTTTTCCAGATCTACCATTTTCCTATGATTCTAAGTTTTAGTTGCCAAATACACAATTTGTAACATTATTGACTAAGAGCTGCAGATGCTAAATTCGCATGTGCCTTTTTACAGGTAAATCTTCATTGTAGTGGTATTATATTCTCTGCCTATGTTTTGTGCAACCTATACTTTAAGGGAGCTTATGTTCCCTGCTGGGGAAGGAGAACTCTTGCTTTCACTAAACATACTATTTTACTCATGTTTTGCTCTCTCCTTATCATGAATAACTACAGGACTTCTGGGACCAACTCTGCGTGCTGAAGTGGGAGATACTTTAGTAGTGCACTTTAAGAACATGGCTGACAAGCCAGTCAGCATTCATCCCCAAGGCATAACTTACAACAAAAAGGCTGAAGGTAAATACTATAAAAACTCCATATTTTGTTCTCTTACTTGTAGACTACTGCATGAAATATAGAGAGGGACCCGGACCAATGTTTGGGGATATGTGTAGCACAAATACCTGTTGATCAAGCGTGGATTAAAACTTTACACTCATTTTTAGATCCTTTCTTGTTCATCACTAGTACTAGGAATATGAGTGTTGTCTGGCATGTATGTTCTCCTGACCAACTCCCTGCCTGTATTTGGTCCTCAGCAACCTGAGGAAGCAACAGTGTTTCATATTTTCCTGCAGGAGCTGAACAACTTACATGCTTGGATAGTAGTAATATAGCCCAATGGCTTTCTAATTTACCACAGTGATTGAAATAGCATTAGCAGGTTTCTAAATACTCAACTTCATGCCATGCAGCCATTTAACCTCATCTAATAGTCAAATTAAGAATGGAACACAGTTTGATGTTGGAACAAGCGTTAGCCAGATAGGCTGCAAAAAACTGCAGTTGCCACAGGAGAGTAAGTGTAATGGTGGAGAGAACTTCTAAAATTCTGTAGGGCTACAAAGATAGCCTGAGCCAGGTGAAGAGACTGACTTTTTAGGTTAGCAGCTAAGAAACTTACTCATCTAGGATGAAGGACATTTTGATTCAAGTCTCTTGTGCTAGAGAAGATGTACTCTTATAAAGGGAAACAGTTTCAGCTGTGGGGATTTATGAGAGGCCTTCCCCCACAGTAACCCTGAAGTTACTATCTTTCCCTAGCTTAAACTGAACAGGGCAAAGAAATGAACCCAGTGCCCCTACTTCTCATATAAAGAGCTCTAACTGTGGCTGTTATGGCAAGGAAGAGTGTGGCCCCAGAAAAGTCTTTGTGTTGAGGAGCATCTGTTTCTTTGGGGTTTTTGGACTTTTCTTCCTCAGTGCAGGTTTTAGTGAAGGAGAAAGGAAGAGAGAGGGATTCTAAACTTTAAAAATTTTGCAGGACAGCAGTGATGTAGAAATGAAGAAGAAAACACTGAGAAAGTCCTCCATGAGTTGATCTGTAGACTGCATGGGGGTTTGACAACTTTGTGACCTTTGAAAGGAGCAGGTGATTAGCTGTTTGCGAAGCAAGTGAACTTCAGGACATTATCTTGCTTCCTCGCATACTGTTTGCAGTAAACATCCACAAAGTTTTCAGAGGACGTAATCCTGTAATTGCAAAATACTCTGTTTCAGTACAGAGTATTCAAACCCTTGAAGTTAGATTTTTAAAAAGTTTCCAAATCCCTTGCTGTGGTATACCTTAAGGCATTACTGGTAAAGGCAGTTGACAGTGTTTATAATATTATTCTAATACTCAGCATTTCATGCCCAGCTTTGTGGTGTTTTGCCCCTGGAACCCTCATTTAGACTAGTGACAAGAGAGCATGATGTGTATCCAGGTTGGAAGTTTAATGCCTGCACCAGCATAGAGTGAGTTTGAACGACTGCCTGTGGCTGTTGGATTGCCCTGCCCTAGGGGCTGAGCCAGAGCTCTAATCAGCAGTTTACAAATTACTATATTGATGATGAAACTGGTTGAAATGTTTTGAACTCTGGAAAAATGTGCGAGAAATACTAATATTCTGAGGGATTAGGAGGCAAAAGTATTTTGTTTTCAGATAAACAGAGAACTAGTTGGAATTTACTGTTGTTGCTTAGTTTTTGTTGGTATCTGCCTTTCAGGGTATTTATTTGAGGGTTTGTTCATTGTATGGGTACAAAAGGAGTTTTGCTTTCATCTCATGGGGTTGAACAGAGTGTATGTTATTGGAAGTGATAAGCAATTCAGTTTGACTATTCTGTTGATTTGCCTTTTGCACCTAGAATTTTGATCACATCTCTGGATCCCCTTTGTGATCTTGCATTTTTGTTGGATATCGTAGGCTAGATTAGTATTTGTGATATTGCTGCCATTTGGATTTGCAATGCCCCAAAGGTATAAGGCGGCAAGGCAGCACTAGCCTGCACAATGGCTGGCTTTATGAGGGATAATCAGAAAGCTGACAAAGTAAGCAATTAGTATTCAACCTCCACAGAATATCAGTGAGTAGAGGCTGCAGCTTCATGCCATCCTAACCCCAATCAGGGCAGTGAAGAGCCCCACCTTTTGGCAGTAACGACTCCTAGGAAATTTGGACTGAGTAAGAAACAGGACAATGGAACAGATGCTTTTATTGATGCTATTCTCACGCACGTTAGTGGAATCTGGAGTCATCCCAGTGAAGGTGAAGTATGATATAGGCAAGAAATAGATCAAGCTTTTTCCTAGTGACTGTAGGAAGGACATTCCATATGCTTTAATTACTCTCCTTCATGCCACCTTTCTGCATGGCTCTTTTCTTGGCAGGTTCCCTATATGATGACAGAACATCATCTGTAGAAAAACAAGATGATGCTGTGCTTCCAGGCCAGGTCTACATGTATGTGTGGGATATTACTGAAGAAGTTGGGCCAGGAGAAGCTGACCTTCCATGTCTTACTTATGCCTATTATTCTCATGAGAACATGGCAATGGATTTTAACTCTGGTCTGATTGGAGCACTGCTTATCTGTAAAAAAGGTAATGAAACGCTTTGTGTAATAGGTATCAGCTTTAAGGTAATGTGGTCTCATTTTTAGTAAAATTAAGGTTGTATGATAATGAGGGAAGGTGTATTATTTTCCTTTCCACATATTTACACATAGTGCAAAGAAAATGGTTTTCAACATCTTTTCATATAGATATTAAAATTTTAAATGCTCCCTTTCATACAGATTAGTCCTGTAATTATAGGATGGACAGATAGTGCTATTAATAGAGAGATTTGCCTATGTTAATTGAATTTTCAATTGCTTAACTGTTAAATATATAACTTTAAATGTCCCATCTCACAATAAATATTTTTTAAAACTTCACTTTAAATGGTTCAGCCATTCCAGAGAATAAGGGTAGGAAATAATCATTGCTTTACTCATGCCTTTCAAAGCCTGCCTGATCAAGAGGTTGTAGCTCCCTCTTTTGTTACAAGGATTTGAATCTCAGAACAGTGTGTCTTTTGCTAGTCTTTGGAATATGTCCAAATTAGAACAGATTATAAATCTTTGAAAACTGATGTGCATGTGGTCAGATACTTGAGAGTTTAGCAGTTAGCCTCTGGATTCCACCTCCACTAATACAAACTGGTGTCTTGTAGGACATAAAAATAACTGTTAGGTACGTGCCACAGGTTTGAGGCAAGTCTGAAAGAGTATACTACCGAATAAGCTACTTAGCCTATTTGCTAGTCCCTTGAATCCTAAATTCATCAGGATTATGTAGTCCTCTTTTAGTAGAAGTCGTGTGAGTTACTTAGCTTGGTCCTCTTTCTCTGAAGTTTGAGTCAAACTTTTATATAGACTGCAGACTGCATGGACTTGGACCTTGAAACTTTCCTGAAAGAAAACATAAAACTAGTTCAGTGTGAGTTGCACAAAGGCACTCTTCTCACTGTTAGACATTCTTTTAATTGCAGGGCGTGCCTGCTTATTATCACCCCAGAGGACTGGCGTCAAGATTAATCATGTTCCTCTCAAAAGTTTTTGGAGAGCTAGTGCTTCTAGTATTATCTAGGATTTGTTTTCGTCCTAATTTTCTTGAGTCTTCTTCTTTCCTTGTGTGAATACACACACACTTTATTCTCTATTGGCAGCATTAATCTGAATGAATGATTTGGAGTTACTTGTTTTCCTTCCTTCCCTGGCTTCTCAAATTCATGGATATATTGTGCGTTGAGATGGGTTGGTTTGATTACTACCTTCAAGGCAATTTGAGCATGTGTTTCTATGTGAAACAAAGGCAAATGCCTAACTACTCAAATTTTTAAGATTTCTGGACCGGATTTCTATGACTGAGCACTGTATGGAGAAGATGGACTCTTAGGCAGATGAGATATTGTAGATGCACAAAAAAGCCTGACACATTATGAGCAACATAGATGGTATAACCTGGGAAGGTTATAAAAAGAGGTCTTTCCAGTTACAGAACTGACTGAACGTTCTTTGTATGATAAATTCTCTGTTAATTTGAGACTTCCTTTGTGCAAAAAAGCTGGACTTTGTAGCCTCTCATAAATAAAATAGAATGACATTAAAGGAAACTACTTCCACTGCCAGTGTCTCCTCCTAACTAGAATAATCTGCAGGTTCCCAAATTTTGTAGTTCCTGCAGTCCAAAGAGACATCTATTTTAATCTTGGATTATGTAAATTTATTTAAAGTAGCAAATGGAAGTTTTTGATGTGAGCAAACTGTAGAAAGAATTAGTCACACCAGCTCTGTGTGGCAGATATTTATATGTCTAAAATGAATTCCACTTGTTGCTAGAAATCACCCCTGTATCACAAACCCTGCTAGTTTCTTATACTTGATTCATTTCTGCAGTATTTGTCAAAGTCTTTCTTATATAAAAGTAGTTTGTGGAGAGGTCTGTCTTATGCATTTTAAAGGAGCTGGTGACCTCAGTGCAGTGCTTGAAAAGGCAGTATTTGCACTGCAGATGACTCTATCATAATTCTTCTTTGCCTTGTTGTCTAAGAGGAGAGGCCGGGGGTCTGAATGGGGACAGAAGGCTGGTCTGCTCTCCCGTTCATTAAGGTGATCCCTGCAGCACATTGCCAGAATTGTCTGAGGCAATTCATTGCCTGCTGCTTAATCTCTTCTAAGAAATTGTAGGCTTTTGGTTTCATGGTTACCCAACCCAAAAGCATTTTCAGAAATAAATTCACTTTATGACCATTCTTAAGATATTTTTCTGGTCAGGCTTAGTCAAAAGATAATAGAGAGGAAGCAAGCTCATTAAGTACACCTGAATGCCATTACACTGATATAGGAACTCCTTCACTTCTGCTAGGATTAAGATCTATTGTTCCTCCTTAACAGGAAGCCTGAAGGAGGACGGATCACAGAAACTTTTCAACAAAGAATATGTGCTGATGTTTGGTGTGTTTGATGAAAACAAAAGTTGGCAAAAGTCATCATCACTGAAGTACACAATTAATGGCTATGCTGATGGGACATTACCAGGTACTGTGCAAGCATGTGCAACCTGAAGTGAGCATTGATGAAGACCGAATATTGCATTTCTTTGCCTTGTCTTGTGCAAGAGAACAGGAATGCAGAGGAATGGGATGCAGCCTTTTTTATAAAGTGGCTGTAAGCATCTGACTCCCAGAGGGGAACCTGTGCCGCTGGAAGGATATCATGCCATTGTGCTGATGCATGCAAAGAACAAGATTACTAACTTTAAAAAATAAGAAATCCCTCTTTCTTTACTCAGCTGATGGGGAGAGAGTGATGTGGTTAATTGAACTGCTGGTTAAGAGCACGTGGAATGCATCAGATGGATAGCTTCCTTCAGGTGGAAAGTCATTTACCATTCATTCATACAACTGAGCAGGAGGACTAGGAAGGTGACAATGGGACTATGCTGCTGTTAGCGTTTTTCCCTTGTTCTCCTAATGAGCTGCATTCATACTTCTCTCCAGTCCATTGAGCAAATAAAAAAGACTGTTGGGTTTTTGTTGTTATTGTTGTTTCTCTTTTAGACAAATGTCATTGGATAGGGTAGTTACTTTCACTAAACCCAGCCTTATGCTTTAGCTTGGCTCCTTGCCTTATTTTCCGAACAAGGACAGATCTGGTGTCTGCAATAGCCTATTGCTTTTCTTCCTTCTTCCCCAGCAACGTATAAGTCAGGTTGTTACGTGAATGTAAGATTTAGACACCTAGTCTTCTACTGACTTCAGAGGATTTTGGTACCTGTTTCATCTTCCTGCTTTTGAAAATTATTCTTCAGGAGCAGGATATTTGTTTATTATTTTGAGCAGACATTCACTTCCGACCTAGAGCGTAGCATAGTGAACTTGCGTGATTTGCCTGCCCTCTGAATCCTGTTCTCCTTTCTCTTTCAGACTTAGAGGCTTGCACCTATGACAACATCAGTTGGCATTTGATAGGAATGAGTTCCAAGCCAGAAATTTTCTCCATTCATATCAATGGTCAGACCATGGAGCAAAGGCATCACCGAGTTTCTGCTGTTAACCTAGTGGGAGGAGCATCAACCACAGTAAACATGACAGTGAGTGAAGAAGGAAGGTGGCTGATATCTTCTCTTGTCCAGAAACATATGCAAGGCAAGGAAACATATATTTACTTGGTATTTTAGAGGTTGTATTTTAATTCTGTATGTCCCAAAGGGCTTCTGCCTTTTTGCAGTGGTACAGTTACTACCTTTCAGATGATTGACATTTCACTAAGAAATCACCGGAGACAGGGCATTAGAACTTCAGGATGAACTAAAAGGCATTATTCTCTGCAGCTTTACTGCTGTGTGCAGATCATAGAGCAGCAATGAGTCAGAATTGCAACTTTTAAGTCTCTGGGAGGTGTTCAGATAAACAGCGTTATAAAAAGGATCACTTTCAGCTGAGGACCACTCAATCTGATGAAAATATTTGCTGTGCATCTTTTGAAAGTGTATGTTTCCCTCTTAGCAGTGATCAGAATTCTGCTCTAAAGATTCAGAGGAATCTCTCTCTTACACGAGCTGAAAGACGTTTTAAAAAAGATAGGGAAAAGATAGCTTTCTATGAATTCAGCTGGTGTGTTGAAAGAGCACTAGTTGTGTGAGCTGCTGTGTTCCACTTGATTGATATGGGCTTCTCAAAAGGTCCTAACCTACATGCTTACAGTCTTTTCAAGCCTGAAAAGATGACGAGTGGCTTGCAAGGAGCCTAAGCTAAGGAAACAAGAAATGCAGTGGAAGTGGTAAGGGTGCATAAAATTAAAAATCCCTGTGGTACTCTGCTTCTTTTCAATTAGCTGGACTGCACGGTTACCTCAGTATAAGAGGCTGTGAGGACAAAGAGGTGAAGAAGAAGAGTCTGTCCCTTAGAGAACGCCTTATGGTCAAGAATTGGGAGTATTTCATTGCTGCAGAAGAAGTTACTTGGGATTATGCCCCAAGTATTCCAGACAGCCTTGATAGGTAAAATAACACTTCATGTTATGTTGACAAAGTATTAACTTGGAATCACAGGATAGTTTAGGCTGGAGGAGACCTCTGGAGGTCATCTGCCACTCTGAGAAGGGCCAACTTCAGCATTAGATCCAACTGCAAAGTTGGACCAATTACAAAGGGTCTTGTCCAGGTGAGTTTTCAGTTATCTCCAAGGATAGGTACTCTGCAACCTTTCTGGGTGTATGCTCAACCTCACTATGAAAAAGTTTTTCCTTTTATCTAATCAGACTTTCCTGTGTTGCAACTTGTGCCCGTTTCCTCACATCCTTTTGCGAACAACTCTGAGAAGAGTTCCGTTTTCTCTGTAACCTAACACTAGGTATTTGAAGATAAAAATAAGATGCTCCCTTAAAATGCTCCCTTAACGCTCTCTTTTCAAGGCTGCCTGTGTGTGGTGCTCTAGCCCTCTAATCACCTTGGTAGCTCTCCACTGGACTCCATCACGTCAACATCTTTCTTTTGCTGGGAGCCCTAAACTGGACACTTTCTTCTACCTCTAATGGGGAGCCCAAAACATAAAGATGGCTTAGGAAATACCCTATCTAGCATGCAAACCGAATTCCTAAAGAGAAAAGGAGGGAGGGAATACTTCTGGAGAAGAGGAGTTTTAAAAAGGTCAGTATAATAAAGTGTTTAGGGAATGGGACAAAAGAGAAGTCTCTCTATAAATAATCTTTGGGTAGCACCAAGAGTAGATGCAGTAAAAGTCTTAATAAATAAGTGTATTGGGATATTTTGTTCAACTTATCTGTAAGATACATGAGGTCATGGTACACAATGCTGCCAGCACATTGTATGGACAAATCTGTGCTCCGACAATCCTTCGCTGCTGGAGCACTGTTGACACTTGCCGTTCAAGGATCAGCTATAGGACCTCTTATTTCATCCTGGTAATTAGTGAGATCCTAAAACACAAATAGCATTCCAAGCTTCTTCTAATCTAATTTACCCTCCCCCCCCCCAAGCACTCTGGAAGTTTATACCAGTTTCTTAACTAACAGTTCTGCATTCTAGTAGATGTCACTATTCAGGTTGTGTTGATCATTTATCTTTTCCTGTATTTTTAAGGCACTATAAAACACAGCACTTGGACAACTTCTCAAATCTCATAGGTAAAAAGTATAAAAAGGCTATTTTCAGGCAGTATACAGATGCAAGCTTCACCAAGCGTCTGGAAAATCCTCGACCCAAGGAAACAGGAATTTTGGGCCCTATTATCAGAGCTCAGCTCAATGACAAAGTCAAAGTAAGTGATATCAATTCAGAGATTATTTATAATGTGGCAGGTTTTCTGTTGGGCAAAGACCCATACAACCTAGTTTGATTTATATTTTTGGAAAATAATATAGCTAATATTGCAAAAATTGGCCCTATTAAAAGGTACAATTGCAAGTGACAGACTTAAGGTTAAATTTTTCGTCACTCTCTCTATAATTTCCGTGACTGTGTTTTATTTACAACATAAACACATTTCATTCACACTCTTTACAGAGTGTATTTATATGTTGAAGCTGGTTCAAAATGAACAAACTTAGGTACAGCTGGACTTCTCAGGAAATTCAGAGCTGAGGTTAAACTTCATGAGCCCCTCATTGCTAATGTTGTTTCTTTTTTTCTGGCAACAGTACTCACTTTTCATAGTTAAAAGTTTTTTTCATGGAGTTATCAAGTGAAACTACAAAGCATTTGCATTAAAAGCTTGTGCTGCTGTTTTGCAGTGTCACGTCCTCTTGCCTTTCTGTTGTCACTTAGTGATATATCACAAAGCTTCATGGCCCTTAGTTGCCACTATGACTCTGTGACACTGACTTTGAATTTAGCACAATGTGTCTTCTTTTTTTTTTTTTTTTTTTTTTTTTTGCTTTCATCCAGGGGAGTTTGCTTTCATCCAGGCAGGGGAGTTGGCCTTTCCTTCCCACTTCCCCTTTGGGTCCTGGAACCTGGGAAAAGATTTTTTTTTAATTATTTTTCTCCCATATTGAAGATTCTTAGGAACTTTAATCAATAATTTCATACTCCTTGAGGCAATATGTGCCTAGGAGCTGGAAGAAGACATATACTTTTTAGATTTACTTTTAGATTTACCAGGCAGAAGCAGCTGAACCCCACTCCATGAGGTCTACAAAGCCTAGCAGCAGGAGGATCCTGTTAGGTGCCAGCAGCATTTGGACTGTAGATTATATTACCAGATGGTGTTTTAAGGCATCTCCTTCTCTTTCCAGTACTTCTACAGGGCTGAAACCAGACAAATTCTATTGTAGCTGGAACTTTTAGTAAGGTATTCAGACAAGGATTTCCTGAATACTAAGCTCATTCTTTTTCACTTCTTTTTCAATATAGATTGTATTCAAAAATAAGGCCAGTCGACCCTACAGCATTTACTTCCATGGAGTGACACTTTCAAAGAATGCAGAAGGAGCTAGTTATCCCCTGGGTACCACAAGTAAGAAATGAATGGATCACATTTTGCATATCACTGACTGTTATGGAGGGTTTGAAAGGGATGTGGATAGAGTTGCAGGACTGGGAAAGCTGAAGTCTCTGCTCTTCCTTTACTGACTTGTTTTGCCTTACGGAGAAACAAAGGTATTGTATGCAAAACATAGACATTGGCATCTCATTTTTCTGTTCTTGTCTGTGATTATAGAGAGAGGCTAGACTGAACTTCAGTTATCCTGAAGTAGCTTCAAATGGCAAAACTGCGCTGCTTTTATTAAAAGGTGTAACCTGACACTATCTAAAGATCTGGCACCAAGTTTGTATCATCATTTTTCTCTCTCTTCATTTTTCCTTCAGGCAACAGCACCCAGAGTACAGGAATTCAGCCAGGGAAGACCCACACGTATGAATGGAAAATTGCTAAAACAGATCAACCCACTGCACAGGATGCACAGTGTATTACAAGGCTATACCATAGTGCTGTAGATATTGAGAGAGATATAGCCTCTGGACTGATTGGCCCACTTCTGATTTGTAAAAGTGAATCACTGAACCAGAAGGGTGTGCAGGTAACATGTTAGGCAACATTACAGAGACAGATTCTGCTCAGTAATATTATTTGAACTATGATAGAATTTAGTTCCGCTTGCCCTCTGCTTAATGTGCTGTAGAAGAGCTATAAAACTAATAGGTTTCTGAAGAAAAGACTTGAAGAAACAGTTCACAGAAAGGTTTAGGTTGGAAGGGACCTCTGGAGATCATCTAGTCCAACCTCCCGGCTCAAGCAGGGTCCTCTACAGCATATTTCCCAGGGTCACATCCAGACGGGTTTTGAATATCTCCAGGGAAGGAGACTCCACTACCTCTCTGGGCAACCTGTTCCAATGCGCTGTCACCCTCACAGTCAAGAAGTTTTTCCTCAGGTTTAGATGGAACTTCCTGTGGTTCCGTTTCTGCCCATTGCCTCTTGTCCTGTCACTGGGCACCACGGAGAAGAGACTGGCCTCATCCTCTTGACACCCTCCCTTCAGATACTTGTACACATTGATGAGATTGCCTCTCAGTCTTCTCTTCTCCAGGCTGAACAGGCCCAGCTCTCGCAGCCTTTCTTCAGAGGAGAGATGCTCCAGTCCCCTCATCATCTTTGTCGCCCTCCGCTGGACTCTCTCCAGTAGCGCCATGTCTCTCTTGTGCTGGGGAGCCCAGAATTGGACACAGGACTCCAGGTGAGGCCTCCCCAGGGCTGAGG